CAGAAGCCCCCACCTCCTTTCTGCCCGGCCCCGAGCCGATTTTCCTACGGCAGGACACGGCTGGAGCCTGAGCAGGTCAGAAGTGACTTCTCCCTGCGCTGCCTGAGCCCAGTCCCCAGCCCAGGGGAGGGGGATGCTCAACACCCTTTGGGTAGGACCAATGCATCCCGCCATGCCACGGGCAAGAGCAACCCTCAGGCAGGCCCCAGCATATTGTGGGCCCAGTGCTGGAGCACAGGTCACATCTCCAGGGTTCAGACGTCCCTGTGGAGTCAGCAGTGTGATCCTAAGTCCTGGAGATGCAGGCTTTCCCCATCGTGCTCAGTTAAATCCCCAATGAGCTTGCAGAGAGGTGATCTGTGGCTTCTTCCACTTTCATGGCGGGAAATGTCCCCTGCGGGACTGCAAGAGGGGACAACCCCACATGCCCCAGGGCCACCATGGTACCAGGTGAGCTGCTGTCTGCCTCAGGACCCACAGTAACGACTCCTTCCATTGATAATATCCTCTCATCCTTTACTTTCTCTCTGGACTGTGCCCGGTTCATCAGGGTGTGTGTGCCCCTTTCCCTTGCAAATGTCCTACGGGGCTCCAGCCTGCCCCAGATCTGTCCCCAGCTGCTTTGTTCAGGTTTAGGGCTGAGCAGGTAGCCCTGGGGACGTGGAGGATAACAACAGGGCTGGGACTGAGAGGACCCAGCCTGCCTGATGTAAGAGCAAATCTCCCTGACTTCTAATGGCAGTCATGCTCCTACACCCCTCCAAGCACTTCTGAAAATTTTCTCTGAAAGGAAACGGATCCTGAGCATAAAGAAACTTTCCTGCAGAATCCAGCAGGATGAAGTGGCTCAGCATTTGCACAGTGGGTCTTTCAGAGCTAACATTTACCCAGATCTCCCAGCGGGAAAGGAGGAAGAAGCAAACTATATAACCCAACAAACATCTTTTTTCGCACACTCACAGCTTCCTCAGGAAAAAAAAAAGTCTTTGCAATTCACCCATCCAGGTCTTACCTGCCTTGGACTTACCCATTGCTTCTCCCTCTGCCAGGATGCTGGCAGGGAACGCCGAGCCCGGAGCTGGCCAGGCTGGTGGCACAGTCCCAGCCTCACCTACTCTCACCCTACTCGGGGCGGGGATGCTTTGTTTGCCTTTCGTGCCTGCGGGATCTGAATGACTCCTTCAGCTTTTTCCCTCGGGATCCACCTCAAGAGAAGTGTCCCACGGCCATCGCCACGGCATAGGGAGGGAGAGGCTGGTGTCTCCTTGTTACAGCTGCCCCAGCCTTGTGTCGCCAGCATGGACTGAGCCCTGGACAACCACCCAGCCTTCCCTGGGTGGACTTCAAGGCCCTGTCTTCTTGTCCCCAGGGCAGTTTTTATCAGCAAAGACATCCAGGGCTGATGCTACCCTGAAACGCCCGTGTTGATACTGCTGCTGTGGGATGCTCTGTGTCTGGAGCTCCCTTTTCTGGTTTGACTGGTGCTGCTTTAGTAGCACCATCAGCTCTCCATTGCCTGGGACCGCTCGGGAGTAGACACCCCATCCTGGGCATCTGGGGTGTTCCAGCATCTCAGTACAGAGCTGGCTCAAGTCAGGGATCACTGGAGCTGGGAAGAGACTCACCTCATGGAACAGCACCCACCAGAGGCAGCAGGAGCCAGAGGGGTGTTCCTGTGAGGAGCAGTGCAGTCCAGGGAACCCAGAAAACCCAGGAGAGCTCAAGTGGCAGACAGCAGTGTTGCACTGCTGTCCCCTTGCCCTGACCCCCAAGAGCCTGGCATTAGGCACCACACGTGGGGCTTGCAAGCATTTTCTAGCAAGTTTTGCCTGCTCCCACCCCACCTCTGAGCCATCCCTGGGACATCAAGTAAACCTTTCCCTTCCCATGGGCTGAAGCACAGGCGCAACGGAGTGGTAGGGCTGCAGGAAAGCAAACATGCATCTCTGCACCGCGACGCAGCGCCCGACAGGCACTGGCACTGCCCACACCGCCTGCCGTCGGTGGGAAAAGAGAGGGCAGCACACCGGCTGGGGGGGCCACCCTTGCCCCCCCCGCCAGGGCC